CCTGAATTTCTCAGTAGCTTCCGGATCGACGGAAGCTCCTGGTGTCTCAAGAACACTGTATCCAAGATCACCTTGGGCACTTCCCGAGCTCCGCCGGGTTGCTGATTCTGCATTTGATGGGACAGAATATACTTCACTTATGCCGCCTCCACTGGGAGAGGCACTAAGCGAAGACGCATTCGAGGTAGAGGTGCCGAGGCGACCACGGGGGACCTTGAGCCAAGAGGGTACTCCCACGTTCCATGGAACACTTGATGGGACGGACTTCGTGGATGGACTAGAAGCCAGATCACCCACAGACGTGGAAGGAGGATAAGTGTGGTCCGTAGGAGTAGCAATTGTGTATGCTTTGGAAAGGGCATGAAGCGCCCTATTTGAGTCTGGGGAAGATATCGAATTAGGCGAAGTTGTGATGGGTACCAGTGAAGAACCTGAGCTCTTAGTTATGTGAGTGTAGTCATCAGACGCTTCGGTAGGTTCGGGAGCCCCTGATGAATTGTTCATGCGCCCTAAAGATGCGGGAAGCGAGTCGTGGAATGGTCGCAGGAGAGACGATAATCTGAAAGAGGAGCCAAAACGTGTGTCTGGTGTTGGAAGGCTCTTAGTACGATCCATACCATGAATGGCAGAAGGCGGGCGGGTGGAGGTGGTGTCCAAGACCGTCAGAGGCGACCTGGTGACCGATGAACGATGTGAACGCACAGCATCGCGAATATGTTCCAACGCGACCGGCAAGTCCTGGAAGTAGGCGAAGAAATACGAGTCCACTGTATAATGCTCCTGCTCTTTGTCAAACACTTTGACCTCGATGGTCTCGCTGAAGTCTATCGCTGAAGACTTCTCGACATCAAGGACAGACGAGTAAGGGATTGCGATCTGCAAGAGCCAACATGTTAATACGTAAACAAGTAAATACTATCAACCTGCCTTAACAGTGTCACCCATATTTTGTGCCTTGAAGATGACTTTCTTTATGGCCTTTACCCATTCCTCCCGACTAGGAACTGAGTCGGCTGACATGAGAACAGTCTTCTGGTTGGTTCGGAGACGTATCTCCTTCTCTCCGGATGGATCACAAGATATCGCATAACGAAGGTCCACTATACCATTTATGAAATAAGGGTCCTAATGAGGCATGAGATAGCGATGTCTCAGAATTTGTTTCACCCACCGAAGAAGAGTGATACCAAGAGAGGGCATCGTTCTTGAGCACGAACCAGTGCTTTGTCCACCGCTTAGTATGGTTAGCCCTCTTGCTGAGCGTCCCTGACTTGAGTATTTGATCCTACAGAGATTATAAAAGCACGCCCGACGTGTTTGCATAGATTTCTTACCTCTCGGGTGGGCATATGCGCAAAGAAGCACAAATGAGAGTTCGTGAGGTACATATATCCCTGTAATACTATGCGTGGCGTTAGAATCACATACCAAAGCGTAAAACAAACTGCCTTACAGACAGACCGAAGCAACCAGCAAGGCATTTCTGTGATTGGTTGAACATCGTGAGTAGCACCAATGAATGAGATACTCGCCGGCTAGAACTTCGTCGATGGCATTCAATTCAAATATCTCCTTTAACTTCTCGGCTAGGCGCGCCCTCCTCCCGACTTTGACGGTCGTGATACTCCCAGCATAGCTAGTCCTACGTCTCATATGCACCCCAGGTCGGAAGACCGTCGACAACTCCGGCATAACATGTTCTGGTTTTGGTAAATCTGCGGGGCGCGGAGTGGTAGCTTCAAAGTCCTCGGCATCGGCATCCTCTTCGGAGAGACCAGTGACGTCCAAATCTCCGTCGGATGATTCATGTTCTTCCTCTGGCAATGGCAACGCAGTGCGTGATGATAAGGATGCTTCCGTTCTCCTCGAACGCGCAACAGGACGATAAATAGCGTGAATAGAAGAAGCCATAGGCAATGCTAGAACGAAATGTCAGAGAAGAAAATCAATGCGGGAGATCACAAACCTCCGGAATCTTCGTCGCTATCCTCATCATCGTGTGGCGTTATGACGTTAGTATGATCATCGTCCTGATCAGAAACATCTGCCCATGGAATAGCTTGTAGAGCTTGAATCAGAGTTTGAGTTCCAGCACGCATCTAAAACACGTGATTTGTCAATTGAATTACGCGTCACAGGGAATGGTCGTACAGAGCCTGTCCCTCGGAACGCCTGCAATGAGGGCCTATTACGGAGTGGAGAGGGTGAACGAGGTCTGATAAAAGGCGAGTCATCCTGTATAGCATTTGACAATTGGGCTTCTGTGTCGGTGTTTCCATTGGAAAGTACCAGTTTAGGCATCTGCAAGTTACTAGACACAATGGCTACAGGGTAGCGTCTGTTAATTTCTTTACGAAGAAAAGGAACATCGATTGTTACCTTCAGTTTGATCCGACTGCTCTTTGGCCTTGCTTTTGCGACTCAGACTGAACACACGCCTGTGCTCTCCGCCGTATCTAGGCGAACTTGGTGACTGAGCTATACTACCGATACTCTTTCCGAAATCCTTGGTTCTGAGCGCCAGACGTTTCGCGCGACTTTGTGGAGATGACGAAGAGTCCTCGTCTTGTTCAACCTGGTCTGGTAAACGGGGATCTTGGGGTGAAAATTCACTATCCTGAGGACTTGGTACTGCTGTATTACGAGCAAGGGGCTTCCAAGGGGGCGATTTGGACATGCTGGCTGGCTGGCTCTGCTCAAGGTAAGATAGTGAAGTGAGCCGAACGTAGATATCAGCGCCAGACTTGGCGATTATTCCCTATTTGGATAAGCAGTCAAATTGTGGTGGCAAGTGGCAGCTCAATTATTCGTGGGAAAATAGAATGCAGACCTTCAAGATATTAAAGTCGCGTGTATTCAATGCTGCAAGCGAACTTGGTTGATGCTAAGTCGTGAAGTTTTACACCCCGTTATACCTTGTTTCATTCATCTCTAGAAGCTATCGGAACATTGAAAATGAGAGGAGAATACTGCATTGGAGGCGCATCCCTGCTTTCGTGAGCATATTTCTTTCCGCTTCCGCTTCCGACTTACCTTGGCCACAGATTCGTTGCACTATTGCTATTAATCTTTGTCCATGTAAGTATGTCTCTTCATCGTCCTTTGCCATTCTAATGTTGTCACTTCTGTTAGGTTGGGCAAATAAATACCTCACTTGTTCCACATGGAATCGCAATGGTGATTGGTTCGCGGTCATAACTGTGGGTCCGAAACTTTTCTGATCACACCGTCTAGGCAAAAATCAACACTTCAGGGTTCGGGTTAGCGCCCCAAATAATTTATTTAGCCAATATGCTAATAAGACCACAGCCAGGCACTGAGTGATGCCATCCTTGATTCGGATCAAGGCATGTACACCACCAATTATACATCACCGCTCGGCCAGCAGAATGGGCTGAGGCAAATCTACGAGTTCGGCCTCTATTCCTATTGTGCATACGTTAACAGCTCTGCTGGAACATGCACCAATCACACCATTGCCGACAAATTCGAGCCTTTCATTGCGATAACGTCCGATATGCTTGCCAACTACTCACAATATTGTGATACAATGTTTGCTAACACGACGTTCATCAACTCATCCTATCTGGGTTATAATTCTCGCGTTGCATACTACTTCATCCTCATTGGAACTATATTTGCAGCCATGGCATTGTTCACGTAAGGTCCACCTCGATTCTCATGCACCACACTTAAGGCCTGCCTACAGTGGTGTCTTAAGAAAGGCACTCCCGTTCGTTATTTCAACGGCTTCATCGATAATTGCTGCGATATCCATTCTCATTGGCGCTGCCATCTGGACATCGATCGTCAAAAAGTGCGAAGGCATCAATACCCTGGACCTTCTACCACTCAGTGGCGGCGTTGTATCACTCAATGGCGTTGTATCAGGGATGATTGTGTCCTATGGGAATGGAATATACCTTACGTGGGCGGCCTTCGCCTGTTTGGCCGCAGCTGCAGTACCATACATGGTTAGGTATGGTTCTATTGTTCCATCAATTTGTTCAAAACGGCGTAACTTATCACTCAACCAGCTGTTGCACATTCCGAGGATGAGTGTTTGATGCTGGCCATCACCCACAGACTTCAGCGGTGGACTTTCATGATAAGCGATAACCTATCACGATCAACGATGTGACTCCCCTCGTGGGACTCATCAATGAGGACATTTAGACTATACATGTATTATTATTCAATTTATGTTGAAATGAAAGTGGCGCAGTTGTTGATGCTCCTTTGCTTCAAGTAAGGTCTATTGTAAAAACAAATCACAATTGCCTTCACGGGAGAAGTGACGCATGTCATTGTTACATACTAGAACTTTGATCGTCCATGCAACAAAAAATTATTAGCCCACCGCGAGGGTCGAACTCGCAGCCTTCAGATCGCCTAGTCATAAGAGTCTGACGCTCTATCCGATTGAGCTAGGCGGGCGATGACATCTTTCGCAATCCCACGGACTTGAGCAGCACCTGGACCATCCCGACGGAACGGACAAAGATGACCCCCGAGGGTGCGGGAATCACTTTGGTACACGCGCCGGTAGCAACGGATGACAGGTAAGCTTTGATGAGTTGCTAGTCAGGGGCAACCTAAGCTGTGCATCAACCATGGTGGATTAACTTTCTTAAGGATTCCAGGCGACCCGGCGTCAACTCGCACATACCTTCGGAACTTTTCGGTAGCAGACCGTGACTGTGAGCCCTTCAACATACCGTACAACCTCCTAAAGCTTTAAAGACGCAAGTGTCCGCTTCTTCTATGAAGCAAGCGAAACATGCAAAATCATTCACATAAAGATGCTGTGCGTCCCGACGTGGTTGCGATCGTTGGTTGCATTCGAGTCTGCACGGAGATCAAGATGCGGGCGCAAGCGCACATACTAGTACAAGTCAGCGGTTGCGCTCCGACGGGACGTGAGACAATTGTTTGTCATTCGTTCCAGATAGAAATTTCTTAAATAGGCTGTGAAGGGTGAGAATGAGGCTGATGTAATGATGGGTTATAAGCCGTCTGCTTGCGTGGTCCGCAGCAAGAATTCGCCCCCTCTTGTTTAACCTGACTCGATTGAACACTCTACGACTTCGCAATAAAATCATTGCGCAGTATCAGATTCCCCAATGGCAGCAGACTCACAAGCCGACGATTTCTATTCTTCCTTTGAGCCCTATGGTTCTGAATTCACAAAGCAAGGTGGTGGCCTTGACTTCGCTTCATTTCACTCGCCTTCAGACATCCTCGCACCCCATCCCGATCTATTCGAATTAGAACTGGATTCAAGCCTTGCGGCTTTCAACGAAGTCCAGCTCCAGCTCCTCACCGTAGATTCCAACGACGCTTACTCCTTTTTGAGATCCGATACTCCAACGTGTGGTCCTCCTTCCACGATCACCGTTTCCTCCGAGTCCACATACGACACTCTTTCCACTCACTCAGAGTCCCTCTATAACTACCCGGATTCTCCTTCCTTTTCTGCCAATTGTTCCTTTCCTTTAGACCTAGAGATGGATTTCCAGCGCGTTCGTGTCGGTGGTAGCGCTTGCTCCGACTATGGTATTAATTCCGCTGCGCAGTCCAACAATAATTCTCTTCCCATGACTGTCGACCCCAGCACTTTTGGGACCTTGCCCCTTAGCCCCCGCAGTCCTTCTGCGACTGCGCCTGCCGTAGACAATTCCTATAAGCGCACAAGCTTCTCAGACTACGGTGGCGCAACTCGCATTCCTGCGGTCCCGAAGTCCTCGACCGCAGAGTATTTCCTCAGCTATATTTCTAGCGACTCCGCCGTCGCGCCATCTAACATGTCGCAATTATCCGCATCCTCCTCCCCCCCACCTCTTGCAAGGTCACTCAGGGGCGTTGACGATCAATCCAAAGACGATCCTCGTAAGAGATACCAATGTCCTTCATGCCCCCGAGGTTGGTACCATATGTGCTTCCCTGGCTTATCGCTGATCGCTTTTGTCCTCTAGCATTTGCACGGGCTTACAACTTGAAGACGCACATGGCAACCCATGACCCAAACCGTCTCAAACCCCATGTGTGCCCTCACCGCTCATGCGGGCGGTCTTTTAGCCGCAAACATGATCTCGGTCGTCACTTGGTCAGCATCCATCGTGACGAGTCCGTGGCTTCTACACCATCTGCAGCAGTGAAGTCTATAGGTGTCGACAACGGTCACAGGAGTTGGTGTGATAGCTGTGGTAAAGGAACAGTCGGTGCCTCGTCCCAGTGCTTGTGCGCCGACATAAAATAGTTGCAAAATCCGTTGTCCTGTTTAACACTATGCGTGCGTATTGTTTTGGATTGTGTTTCCCTGTACTGACATGCGCTGTTCACAGCATGGGCGAGTATTTTTCGCCACTCGCTTCGTCGTAGTCGATGGTCGATTCGTCCACTGCGCGCTTCTGAAGACGTATCAATCCGCTATCTACGCTATTTCCGTTCTCGATGTGTTGCGTATCGTACCGTTCAGCCATAGTTGCTGAGCCCAGTGATGAACGTAATCTCGGGCTGCTTCATTTATGCCTACCTTTGTCCACGATGGGCTGGTAATATTTTATCTCACTCGGATATTTTATTTGTGTTAACTCCTATACTGTTTTCTTCTGTAACGTAAACAAACTTATATCTTAGATGGCGCGTTGGCGTTGTCCTGCCACATTCATTATTTATGTACCCATTGCGCCGGAAATACCACCATTTATGATGCATCTGTGAGCGTGTCAGAATTACTCGCCCATAATCTCATAATTGAAACCTCCTCTTCGACAATTTGTTCTGGATAGTACCGAGGCTTAACATTATCCTTCACCGGAATCCTCAACTGCAGGGGATGAATGTGAGTTGTTACTACACATTTTGGCCACCGACGCTAGTGCAATTCGATGGCCCACCGACAAACTACCATTAAGTGAGAGTCATGCAACACAAGGCTACTCGAGGGCAACTCGAGGGGTGCACATTGTTTTGAAATTCAAATGGACGCGCGGTCACGTGGACCGATCGTTTTTTCGTCACCGGTGATCTCATTGAAGTTCGCGTCGGCGGGAAATACTCAGGAGTATAAAAGGCGGGATGGACGTCCACCTCCTCTCTTTCCATAACCCGCCATGTCGTCTATCGGGCAATCAGTCGAAAAAGCTTTCACTACCATGACCTCTAAAAACTCCAAAGTCGTGGACTTGCAGCGAGACATACTGGAACCGCGAACCAGTCAGCCTCTGACAACGGATCATGGTGTCAAGGTGGCTGACACGGACAATTGGTGAGCATGAGTGTATGTATCGAGTAGGCGGCGTTGATCTTTAATTTCTCGCCAGGCTCAAGATCATCGACTCCGACTCCGAGTCAAAGTCCGAGTCAAAGAAGAACGGTCCTTCACTCCTTGAGGATCAAATTGGGCGAGAGAAGATACACCGCTTTGACCACGAGCGGATCCCAGAGCGTGTAGTGCATGCCCGCGGTACCGGTGCTCATGGGCATTTCAAAGTATTTGACGATCGCGCTTCGAAATACACATTCGCCCCTGTCCTGACGGATTCCTCGAGGACGACTCCTGTCTTCGTCCGTTTCAGCACTGTTCAGGGTTCGCGTGGCAGCGCTGTGCGTATATGCTTCTTTTTTTGCGCATATAATCGGTTAAAGTCTCCCGTCGCGTGCAGGACACCGTCCGCGATGTCAGAGGGTTTGCGGTCAAGTTCTATACTGAAGAAGGCAACTGGGACATCGTCGGAAATGACATTCCCGTTTTCTTCATTCAGGATGCCATTAAATTCCCTGACTTCGTTCACGCTGTGAAGCCAGAGCCTCACAACGAAGTGCCTCAAGGCCAGAGTGCCCACAACAACTTTTGGGATTTTGTGGGCCTGCAACCTGAGTGTTCGTCAAATTGGGCGTTCCCGGATACATGTTGACGCCCTTTTTGCAGCTGCACATATGGTGATGTGGGTCATGTCTGATCGCGGCGTTCCACGGTCCTTCCGCATGATGCAAGGATTCGGGGTGAACACCTTCACGCTAGTGCCTGCAGATGGTAAACGCCACTTTGTCAAGTTTCACTTCATCCCGGAGTTGGGGGTCCACAGCCTTCTTTGGGATGAAGCCCTCAAGATCAACGGCCAAGATCCCGATTTTCACCGTAAGGACTTGAGCGAGGCCATCGAAAGCGGTGCATACCCAAAGTGGAAGTTCGCCATTCAGACAATCCCTGAGTCCGAACAGCACAAATTCGATTTTGACATCTTGGATGCCACCAAAATCTGGCCGCAGGAATTGGTACCTCTTGAGGAGATTGGCGAATTAGTTCTCGACCGCGTTGTCGACGAGTTCTTCCCAGAAACTGAGCAAGTCGCATTTTGCACCAGCCATGTCGTTCCAGGAATAGGATTTAGCGACGATCCTCTTCTGCAAGGTCGAAACTTCTCGTACTTTGATACCCAGATCTCTCGTTTGGGTGCCAACTGGGAGGAGGTGAATTTTATTCGTTTAGTCTGTTGCTGAAACTATTACTCATTGCTACGACCTCAGCTTCCAATTAATAGACCTGTATGTCCTGTGTTCAACCACAATTGTGACGGGAAGAGCAGGCATCGTATTGTTAAGAGCGAAGTCAACTATTGGCCCAACCGCAAGGATATTGGACGCCCAGTTCCCGAGGAGAAAGGTGGATACGTCGAGTAGGTTTATTTCATGTCTTTTCGCCTTCTCAGTCTCACAGGGTCATAGATATGCAGAGCGTCTTCAGGGTATTAAACAGAGGGCGCGCGGGTCGAAGTTTCAGGAGCACTTTAATCATGCTCAACTCTTCTATAATTCGCTTGCCGCGTATGAAAAGGCCCACCTCGTCAGCGCTATCGGCTTCGAACTTAGCCATTGCGAGGACCCGGACGTTTACAGGTCGTATATCAACGTTCTGAACAACATTGATTTCGACCTGGCAAAGGCAGTCGCCGTTAAGGTGAATGGGGATGTGCCGAAGAAGGCTGGTCGTGAAAATCATGGGCGTACGAGCAAGGGTCTTTCGCAGCTCGACTTCTTGCCCAAGGAGCCTACCATCGTCTCAAGGCGCATCGCCATCCTGATCTCGGACGGGTTCAACGCTGTTGAGATGCAAGCTGTGAGGGCTGCTCTCACTAGCGCAAAGGCTGTTTGCTATCTTATTGGTCCTCGTCGTAACCATATTCGTCCAATGGTCGGTCAGGACTTCGGTCCAGAAGTATTCGCCGATCACCACTTTGACAGCCAGCGTTCAACGCTGTTTGATGCCATCTATATCCCTTCCGGCGAGGAGCATGTGAAAACCATTGCAAAAAATGGTCGCGTGGTTCACTGGGTAAGGGAAGCATTTGGTCACTGCAAGGCTATCGCTGCCGTTGGTGAAGGTGTGTTCATCAGAAGCTGATAAATTATTACATCGCCGTTAACGCCTGAGATGTTTCAGGTGTTGATTTTCTCCGGGAGGTTGTTAGACTGCCTGGCAGTGTTGATCTATTCACCCCTTCGCGCGTCCAAGGGATTGATGAAGTTGTCACATCTTACGGGGTGGTGACTACAGGGAAGTACAGCGCCTCCTCGGCTGTGACAGATGTGCTCAATATCGCAGCGGACACGAAAGGCTTCGCTTCTAAGTTCGGATTCGAAATTAGCCAGCACAGGTGTTATGAGCGAGAACTTGAGGGGTTGACTCAGCAGGTTGCGTTCTGAGTCTTATCGCATACGTAATGACAGCTGTCAATGCAACGTGTAATTATCTCCGCAGGAATCTCAAAGAAGCTAATATTGGATAACATAATGAACACCGTAATCTGATACGGATACGATGCCCGAGGATGTTTATTTACAATAATTGCTATTCGTCACGTTTGTCCCAATCCAAGCATCACAATAGCATAAACATTGGCAGCCAATATCACCACCCAGATGATCCATGAAAGCCATGTAACGATATATCCGTTGCTGAAGTCCACAACGCTGTATTCTTGTGTCTCCTGTGTTTCGTATGCCTGTATTGACGAATGTTTAATTGAATCATCACGACTTTCAATGTTTCGCTCAACAACTGTAATGCTAGTGCCCACAGGTAAGGGCGGCCGGTGGGTAGACAGTCCGTCAGAAACGGGGAATATCGTGTGCGTGGAAGTTATCGGCGGGGTCTTGTCAAGTTTTTCTTGGATCACTTTCGGCGTTCTGACAGACATCACCGTTTTTGACGACGTGAGGTAGATGAGGGGGAATGCGACGAAGGGGAGGACAACTGACAGGGCGACCTGTGATGCAATGAGGAGAGCGTTAATTCCTGCCCCCCCAGATGAAATAGCCACGATCATAGAGGGTATTAGACTGATCAGGCGTGTGAGAAGACGGCGGATAAATGGCTGTGAAGAACGGGCGTTAAGGCGAAGATGAAGCTATCGAAATGAATTGTGCATACAGAGATGTTCCACGATATAAATCCTTCCGAGACAATTTGTCCTGCAAGCGTCGCCGTAATGCTGGCAGTTTGGCCTGAGCAGACTAGGGCGAGTGCAAAGATTACCGCTGCGGCTATTTAATAGTGAGTCCAGTATTGTCGTAATATGACCATCTCCGCTTACCTGACCCAAGCGTTTGTTGCATCAAGGTATGCATGTTTTCCAGTCCGATTGAGGCGTTGTAGTCGGACGAGTAGAACATGGCAGCGGCCAAAATCAATATCCTGAATCTTCTACGTCAAGTAACGAAAGCATAGGTGGAGAAGGACGTACGCTGAGTTGATTGGCACCGCAAGTCCCATTAGACTTAATACGAGATCGACGGTTCCGTGGCTAATATGACCGCGGATAAACTCTAATGAGTTATTCTGACGAAACCCATGTCGAGAGGTATAGTCTTTCCCGGTATCACGTTCTGATCGTGAAAAATATATGATACTCCTCCAAAACTGTTTAATTTTTTGGGAAAATGACAGCCGCCTTGCGTCTGCAGGTGTCGGAAGTGGCTTGGGTGGGTCTGAAATACGATCCTGAGTTGCAAGATTCGAGCCCAGAAACAGCGCATGGGGCATGACCGTGGCACCAATAATTCCAATGGCTATACTATTTTGTTCGTCATCTGGACTACTGTCAAATATGGGACATACCTGCATAAACTGCGTTGGGCTGTGACTGAAAAAGACCCGAAGATGGCACGAAGCCCAAAAACGCCTGTGGCCAGTCTGGGTGGACCTTGACTAGTAGCAAGATGAAACATATGAAGACCATTGCAACCTTAAATCCGAATCAGCAACTGATTGATTTTCGATTAGCATCAGCACAAACCAGTAATATGATTACCAGCTCAAAAAATCGCACTGGACGTCCTGTTCGCGAGGGGTCGCCTACGATGAGGAAGATGAAAACGTCGACACCAGTAATGAGCACGGCGGACCACAGGGGGACTTTTGGAAAAAGCAGGCAGATACCGATGGCCGAACCGAGCAATTCTGCAAGGTCCGTGCTGATGATGGCTATTTCGCATAGGACATAGAGAGGATACAGCACAAGTCGCCGGACCAACCGTGGGTGCTTTGGATGGTTATCGAGAAGTAGTCTACAATGATGAGCCAAATCTAGCAACGTCGTATAAGAAGGCGCAGCAGCGAGATGGAAATCATTTCACCTAGACCAGTTACGCAGCCGAGTCTAGCTGCCAATACCTGTGGTGTGATGACATTAGAGGTTGCACGAATAACATTAGATATATATCATTGACGTGCCTGCAAAATAACTGCAATGATTCCAGCAAGCAAAATAACGAATAGCATAGGTCGATACCCAAAGCTAACGCCTGCTTGAATATCGACGCTCCAATTACCGCTTGATGAAAATCAGATATACGACGTATGCATCACAAGTAATGATATGGCGTACGGATCGAAATAGCCGACTGCGCATATGATACCGACGCCCACATGTCTTTTGAAGTGGTGCACCACGGCATTCAATGCAGAACTGACAGACATCTTATTTCGCAACCCCTCGTGCGAAGTCTGCGCGGAGGAATCATCATGTAATGATGGTGATGAGGTGTTTGAATGCATCCCAGAGCTTCTGGGGGAGATAACTGAGAGAAGATGACTAGTACTTATACTATGACCTTGGCACGATTTGAAAGACCACTGATAAATCAGTCTTCTAGTGTGGTCGGTTTTCGGCTCAGTTCGTTTATCAAGCATATTAGAATCGATACAATCTTGCACACTTCACAGACGCTAAGAATAAACGCTTTCAAGGAAAGTCTAGATTGTTTCTTGATCCTAATTTAGTACTCGGAACATAGAGTGGGGTCCTGTTGATGAAGAAGACTTATCGGATAACGGGAACCGATGCAAGCAGGATTTTAGGGTGTGCCTCGGCGTCTCCCAGGCGCCTTGGAGTCAAGGAGTCCCACACTGTCAGACCGCGTGCATAGAGCATTTCCTCTGGAGAAGTACCTTATGACCCAGTTGCGGATCCCGTTTTTTGGAAGTCTCGAAAGTCCGGCCGGGTGTCCATCCAGTTTGTGCAATCAGTGAATATGTTGAATCTTGATCACCTCGTAGTGTTATAATGGTCAAACACTTTCATGACGTACTTTCACCATAGATGGCAAAAAATACTGTCAAATGGTATAAATGATGAGCCAGCAACTCCGACATACATTTGCAACACCAACTTGAGTAATATAGACCCAGAGCACAATTAGGATGGGAAAGTAGATTGAGAGTGTTAGAGTCGGTGATTACTTGATGCCAGGTTGCTGGTTGGAGGGTGGAAAAACGGCACATCCTTGGGTGCCTCCGAACTTCGCTATGACATCGCTTCCCTGAATCGATGCGCTAATGGTAGGTTGTCTCGTAGCGCGTGCTGGTGGTGCTAGGTGGTAACCAAATGTTTACAAGAAAGCGGGCTTGCCAGGGTCTGGGGGTGCTAGGACGGACGGACTAGCCGGACTAGGCCGGGGACCACCAAGACTCTCATTATTTTTTCCAGTTCCTTGGTTTCATTATTAACATTTCTCACGCTCCTGGGCAAACTTGGTTAACGGGCCGTGGCGGCCTTAACACCACCACCATTACCGCGGGTAATGTTTACCGCTAATTGAACTAGTCAGAACGTAACACGTCCCTAGACCAGAAAGTTCTCCCTATCTACACTCAGCTCACAGGTCGTGATGGACTTCAACGATCTTCATCCCTCAGACGATTACAGTCACAGGTTTTTCATCTGGCACGAATGGATCCAGGTATTCGATTTGAACGCCACAAAGGTGTCAGGATGCTTACAAGTAAACACATCAGGCGAACGGTCCTCTCACTTCAGAGAACGTGTTTGATTATTTTGCCACGTCAATGTTCTATGACAAGCAGAGCAATAATCAAGTTTTGCGCATGCAGACCATGCACACGGGTGTGCCCATATTAAACGAGTCGGAAGAACTTAAGTAAGTTTCATTGACATTCAGAGCTCCCTTTGCACATCTTGGCGTGCAATTTATAGACGTTTCACCGGCATCGAGTTTGCTCTCGTGCATGCTCAGCCACCTTCGCTATTTATTATTCACAAAAGGGAACGATCATCCCCTGAGGAAGGTACGTTGGAGTTTGCCCCGTAACTCCTAAATTTAAGCATGGCATTAGTTCGCCCTCTTGCTGCTTATTTTATCATGAACAATCGAATCTATCGATCGCCGGATGTCTATGGTGTTCTCTCCAACCGTTTGGTATGTTCCCACAGATTGCCACTCCTACACCATACTCATTTCGGCTTATCTTCTTGTAGCTCACTTCCCTATACGCCCTGCAGTCCTCTTTAGACATACTGCGCATCAATAGACCTGACTACACCCCTCGCACAGGATTTATTTGGCCAATCACGGAGCAGGCCATGTCCGATGATGCTACCAAAAAATGGGGTGGAGAGGATTCCGCGACTGCTGCAGCCGAGACGGAGATCTCCACGTCACAGTCAGAAAGTCAGAAACCCACTTTAATGACCAGTGGACCGAAAAAGCAACAGAACAACATGTTAATGTATAACGCAATGAGGTCCACTGCGTTTCATTCAAAAATATCCTTTTCTTCCTCTGCTTCTGTCAGAGATGGAGATAGTGTTCCCCCTGAGTCACTGGGGATACGTTCCTCAGCCACACCTGCACCTACGGCGACCAGAGCAGCGACCCCAGCCAGCGGTCCCACACCCCAAGACACACTTCCACCGAAGGGTGCGCCTGGTGCGGGTAAAAAGAAGAAAAAGCGTATGTGTTTAATCGAAATCGGTGTTGTTGCTCGCGCATTCATGAGCGAATGTTGTGTGATAAATTAGGTACCTTGTTGGCTGTCGGAGCAAGTTGATGGCCTCCGACCTCTACAAACCAGTCGCAGTCCCTGTGCCACATCTCCATGCAGGCGACTGGCATTTGACGTGAGTATTGACGTCGAATATCATCCTTCTCGGAGCTTTGCGGGCTTCATTACCGCTACGCCTCATCTTGCGCCACCATACCATGGATCTCTTTAGCAAGAATAGGACAGACGGGGACCTGGAGCTACAATTGGTGTTGTAGTTGAATTGGGGGTTGTGAAAACCTACTATCTTTATTTAACACTGTACAACTAACATCGCCCAACTATACATGAAACTTATTCCTAGCAGCTTATCGAGTGGCGACACCTGCCAGCCTATCAGTCAACCATCCTAGTGGAGTCTGCAGAGATCCGCTTCGCGGACCGCCGGGTCCGCTGCCTAGAGACAAAGGATTTGATGATGCAAATGAGTTCCTTCTGGCCTTCGAAGCTAGCTTCACTGCAAAATATAATGCCAGATTAAGCTTGTACATGATCGTTTCAAATGGAAAAATTACAGACCTGAGTTACTGATTTCATCTCCATTGGTCTCCAAGACAAGACCGCCTTGTATGATTTCTGCGAGAATGTGATGCGCCTGCACATCCACAACCATCGGTCATCGAAGGCACATTCGTGTAAGGCAGATATAACTTACTTCGTCGAAATGAAACACCAAGTCCAATTCACAGACATTCTCAAAGTGCCTATCGAGCCCTTCCACAAAAACCTAGAACAGTTCGTCACAACATGGGCACGACTACGAAAGCGACATTCACCTGTATCAAGTCCAGTATGCCCAGTTCACTTTCTGCACCATCGACGACGAAGACAAAGTACAAAGTGGCGTAGTTTCGGTAGACAACGCGCCATCTCTCGTCCGAACCATCCTTTGGGCCAAGAAACGCCTCGAGCTCCGGTGCATCTAGAAAGTTGCAGAGTCCTGCAGGCCGGATGGATATGAGAGAGAATATTTTCTGTATCAATATCTGAGAAGATTGGTGGAGGGGCGTGTAAAACTTGGTCAGCCTTGGAATCCCGGATGTGTTGACTGCAAAGTGGAATATGTCAGTGCAGAACGACACGACCAGAGATCTCACTGACAGATGAGCACAGCATGGATCATGGTAGCTGTTGCGTGATTCCTCTTACAGCAGAAAAGCAGCGGTCCACGACAACTTCCGGTTCGTAGTACTAGCACTAGGGGATGACTAGTTGTTCTAGTTCAGCTCTAGATAAGATTAGATTGGCAACAAGAACGCTACTGCACAGCTACAGAGTACACAGTAGTGACCCAGTACTGGTTTTTCTCACAAAGTACAAAGAATAGACAGGCGCTCATTTTGCTACGTCGCCGTTAAAGCTATAAGACATCATTGACATTTCCATAGATTTCCCTGTCTCAGTTCCCAACAGCCCGCGTGTGGGTGGCGCAATAAATCATGAATCATCCCTTGGAAATGTCCACCCTGGCTGCAAGCGACCTGCAAGGTTTCCCACAGGTCCAGAAAGACCCGCTTGACTTTTGAAGCTTTCCAAGAAATTCTTGATAAGGTTGTAGTCCATCGGTACCTCCTCTTCGCCAGAGTCAGGTTCCACCATATCTCCGCCTCCGTATTCGAGCATGGCTTTGAGCTCAGCCTCCATTTGAGCTTCGACGTCTAGATCCTCCTCACCGTCTTCATCCATGGACTTCGATTTGGAAATGTCTTTGCCGGAGATTTCAGGGTCGCCTGTAGGGAGGGTCGGAACCCTCCCCTTCCCTTTCTTCTTTTTCAGGGTTGTCTGGCGAGACTGGTTCAGTTCGGCATCCATAGCTTGCATGACAGCCTCAAAGGAATCCAGATTCGGATTCACATTCGGCCTCGGGCCAGGGACAGGTTGCCGTCCCTGTGCTGGTGGAGCGGAAGATTCAGATTTATTGGTCGATGATCTTGTTGAGGTAGATGTTGTGTTCTCCACCATGATGCTAGTGGGAACAAAGGCTGTAAAAGTGCTCATTAGCAAGATCTTCGGCAGATCAATTAGTGATTACCTCCTCGTCCTTTCCTATCCTTGATGATGTCTCCCCACTGTTGGTCAGATATGCCCAAAGCTTGCCTTGAAAACTCTAGGAACTCTGCTTCTTCCTGGTCCATGTCAACTTCGACATCGCCGACAACCTGCGGGCGGTCCTCCTCTGACTCTACATCTTCTTCATCTCCACCAGCAAGTGGATCAGAGCTAGATGATTCGTCATCAGAATCTACACCCTCGTACCTGTCACGCGGCAGAATGGGTGGCCGTATAAACCGAGTGCGAGCTGGCGACGTAATTTCCAAAGCGGGTTCAGCAGCCGAAAATTGTGTGATAGCTGGATCGTTCTCCTCGATTGTTTCAGTCTCAATAGTAACTTTGGAGACACGTTGAGTGTTGAATGAAGCGGGCATTTGTCCATACTCGGCCTCTGAAAGGGCAGGCACAAGCTTCGCCATTGCTTCTTGGCGTGCAGCTTCGTCGGCAACTAGCTCATCTTCATCGTCCGAGTCTGAAAACTTCTCATCACTGAAATTCTCTTCATCTTCTTCGTCTGCATCATCCCCGTCGTCATCGTCGCCTGAGAAAGCCTCACTAGAAACAGAAGACTTAGTCTCTGGAAGGCTCTGGTGTGTGGAAGCTTACTCTTCAAACCTAGCACCCTCTACATCACCCTCTCCTTCGACAAACTTCTGCACCTTGGCTGCAAGGTCCTGCAGTTTGTTTGCTTGTTCCTTAGCTATCCTTTCCTCTGCCCCATCAGATGTAGAATCAACCTCCATCTCTTGAGACTGCGATTGAGAACGTGTCCGCTCCAGCATATCATCAAAGTTGGCTGCGTCCACGTTCATCCAGTCATCCGAGTCTTCAGCCTCATCAGGCATCTCAGTGAGGTATTGCGGGGCGATAGACAATGCTGAATTGAACAGCGCTGCGAATGAAGGACGTGTAGCATTGCTGGTAAGACATCAGCTTCAAGGCCAAAAAAGTGAAATCGAGTGACTCACTCCTCCTGCCGAACCTGAATGAACGCATCAGCGGCTTTATTTTCCAGTTCATTCCAAAGCTGCGAGTCTTCCACTTCACCCCGGAAGTAGCCGGTTGAACGCAAATTTGTGATGTAAGCCTTATAGTCGGATGATCGGCGAAGTGCTTCTTTACGTGCTTCTGCCTGAGGCCACGCGATTAGTATGACAACGGAGGACTAAGTCAGCCGTACATACCGATGATTCGAGCACCTCACTAGTCTTACTTGCGATGCCAGTACGACTCTTCGACTCTTGGTAGATCATTTCGAAACCGCAAGCCTGTCATAGTATCTTTGTCAATGGACATGTTCCAGAATGGCGAATGTCTTAACTTGCCAGCTTCATACCTATGTCTCTCCAACGCCAGACGTCGCTGCCCTCGCGCTCCTTGAAATGACCAAATATCTTTGGAGGGAAGAATTTTTGTCCAACAAGTTGAGCATATGCTGGTCTTGTCAACTTGACTGTGGTAAGCACGGCAGAGTGAGGAGGGAATCGCGTCATGCGATGGGCAGCCTGCAGAATTCTCATCAGAACGATGTCGCGGAGAGTTAAATATACTGACTCGTAGTTGGACGGCATCACGCGTGTAAAATGTCTCGACGGGCTTTTGTACCAACGAAGGGTCTACGGATAAAGTGCGAGCAATGTCAAGCGGAAGGTACGCTTTGGTGGTATGCACGTGGCTTTTGGCTGCTGCAGGATAACTTTCCCGAAGATCATGAATAGTTCGTCGCGCACAACCAAAAAAATTTCCTACCCAGAAATACGCTGCCATACCGTATTCTTAACTGTAAGAGGTGCATGCGTTTCGACAGTTGCATCGCGGACCAGCTTCAGTGCGTCATCGATGGCCAAATATTCTTCAAGGTCATCACCAACAATGTCACCTTCATCATCACTGTCTTTAGACCCAGGGAATCTGCGTCTTCGTTTTTGTTTACTTGGAGCAGATACGTGTTGGAGAGGTATCAGGTGCAAAATTCCACTGTATATCCAGACCTATGATGTAAGAGCACCAAGAACAAATTCAGCAAACTGTCTTACCATCTAAAGTACGGGAAGAGGGCGCACCCTATTCTCGGAGTTGGACGGTTTGACCCATGAAGGGAGGGCTTCGGCTGCCTCAATGAGGAGAAACTCCCCGTCAGAATCCATTACGCTAATACGCGCTGTTAGTCGCGAGATAAGTCGCGCCGAGATCAAGATCTGACCTAATAGCAAAATCCCACTTCTTGCTGACCTCCCGTAGGATCCAGACAACGCACCACTCGTCATCGACGGAGTCCCCGACGCGCATACGCCCTTCAAGCATCCACTTGCTATCCGAAGCTGCAGCGGAATCGATGTCTTTCGCGACTTTTACCTCGAAAGGGTCTCTGTGCCAGATAAAATTTGGCAAAAGCTCGGAGACATATGCTTCTACGCATACTGCGAGTGTCGTTGCAGATGATTTTTCTCCTAGTGCTGGAGGGGGATAAAGAGTATACTGAATTGTGTCCTCTGAGATTGAAGGTGGGCGGTTGAAGATGTCCATCGCCATAGATTATTGTTAAAGACTGTCGTTTGTTTTATGGAATTACTGACTAGGGGAGACTGAAGATCGTTGAGGACTGTGTTTGTCAGCAAAAGTCCCCCCGACTCATTTCCTTTCTTGGTTCACAGGAGAACACCAATGGCGTCGACCACGGCCTTCAAGGACAGAAATCTCATCGCTGTCATAGGAGATGAGGTACGTTTACCTCTGCTAGTTACCATTGCTCAAAATCAGATTCACATTGCCAGGACTCGATAACGGGACTGCTTCTTGCAGGCGTCGGCCACATCAACGAGCACCAGAGGAAGAACTTCCTCATCGTAGATTCTAGTGAGCTCTTTGGCGTATTCTACATCATCTCACACTCACGAATGAGTCCAGAAACACAAATATCGGGGATCGAAGCTGCGTTCCAGGAGTTCACCCAACGGAAGGATATTGCAATTGTCCTCATCAACCAGCATGTGAGATCAAACCTCCCAGATCGTATCTTTGACCTGAATGTGACGCGTACTTTTAGATAGCAGAGAAGATACGACCGACAGTGGACCGCTACCAAGAAGCATTCCCTACATTGCTCGAGATACCCTCCAAGGATCATCCATACGGTGAGCACAGAAGACGCCCAGTCTCCACATACCCTGTACTAACATGACAACGCAGACCCTTCGAAAGATTCGGTATTGAAGCGCGTTCAGAAGCTTTTCGGCGAGTAGAGAGTGCATGCCTTGCTACACTACTCGCATCGCTAGGGTTGAATGTCCATGTGTACCATATAATACAGATGTACATGGCAAGCAGAGTCTACTATGCCTAGAGAATGGATGTTCTTCTCCCCTACCTTCGAATTGAGTATTAGGGTGCAGCAATTCATGCCGAAGTGAACCGCATGATGGGCTCATTCTCCCGGACACCTGGTGCTCGTTCAACGAATACCCTCACTGGATTCCGGGTTTCTGAATCTAAAGTCGAAACGTTGGCATCAGTGGAAGATAATAGGGATCAACGAAGTGGCATACGTGGTATGTCGATCAGGAGGTACCGGAAGACGAAATAGCCGTCGTCGTTCTGTGTTTCACATGAAGATTTACGAAGAATTCTTTGGAGGTTTACATACCCGGACAAGATCAGCATGAACTTCTCCCTCTGTCCACGGAACGCCTGAGTCTCCTGCACCTTCAGCTACACTTCTCCGTCCCTTTAAACCTGAGAACAGCCCAGCAACGCTCCACACGCCCTTCTCCTGTTTTCTTTCGTTCTCCTGTCTATCATCAGTCGACAGTTGCGGGTGAGGTGCGGGCAATGGAGTGGCATCGCCACTCAAGTATCTGAATGCACGTTTTGCAGATTGCCCAATCGACTCGAGTTTCTCCTTCGCAAGGCCTATGGTTTCATCTAGAGTCAGGGAGCTGAGGGACTCAATGTATGAAGGGCCCGCTTCTTCATCAGCTTGCTGAGCTGATTTAGCGGAGGACGACCCTTGTACATAGAAGTTGAGGAGCATGTGTTCTCGCCCTGAAGAATCTACCGCGACCTGAGATGAAACATGCCTATGCCTGTGCCTCGGTCGTGTGGAGGAGGGCGGGTTATTGTGGAATATAAGAGGTGCTCGTAGGTATTTTGCAACCTGTACATATCAAAATCAAATATTGATTTAAACTCAAACTCGTAGGACATACCCGAGGAGATGCATTAATGCGGTCACAGGCATCATTGAAAAGGACGGTAGGCGAGTTCCTTGAGAACAACTCTGATGTAAGGGCATATATGAGCACGGCAGAAAGCCCGGCACCCAAAAGAATAACGGCAAGGTTCGAAGTACGCTGTGTTGTTCGAATCACTGTAAATAAGCAGGATCAATCACAGTCCATCATGATGGATCTGTAAGAAAATGTGAGAATTCATGCGCACCCTTCCCACCGGTGCTCAGCTCGGACCACTGTTTTACTTTCTTTCCCTTGAGGGATCCTTGAGATATCCCAAGCGCAAACGGCCCTACTGAGTCCTCTCGGTTCGGACGCGTGCCGCGCTGTTTCTGGTCAAGCGCAGAAGAGAGTAATGAAGATGCAGCGTCTTGGTGAGTCACAAATGACCTGCGACATAATCCAAATGCATAGATTTGGTGACGGTGGCGATGTGAAAATAAGATGTCGGTCGATGGCCGCGAACGAGTGCAAAGCGTATTGACCTGACGTGCAAGCCTCGCCATGGAGGTCATGGTAAGGTTAACGTTCTGGACTGCATCCGAAAACGCATTACCCAAAAATAGCCGGCGATCGGTCACCGCCTAATTTTGACCGAGGGCTGACTGGACAAGCTAACTCCTCGAATTGTCGTGGACGTCCGACATGCATGTGCATTCTGATACCTGTCTGCACCACCCGTATGTTTCTCACAGGTGTTTGGGATTGAAAGGAATAATCTTGGGCAGAAGAAAGAAGGTATCATTCATACAGAAGCTCAGAACCCGATTCAATACAAGACAAATACAACGCTCTAAAATTATTATTCAGTCACTAACTTATGATCGCTCTCCACGTAGGCGTCTAGCAAGGGCGAGGTCTTTAGGTTGAATGGTGACACGTTTGGCGTGAATAGCTGCGAGATTCGTATCTTCAAACAACGAGACGAGGTAAGCCTCGGCGGCTTCCTGGAGTGCCATAACAGCAGAGGATTGGAAGCGGAGATCGGTCTGAATGGCTCGGTTACGATACGAGTGATATAGATTCAGGAAGACGGTGCTAACCTTGAAATCCTGTGCGATCTCGCGCACAAGACGTTGGAATGGGAGCTTGCGGATGAGGAGCTCCGTAGACTTCTGATAACGACGAATTTCACGGAGCGCAACGGTACCGGGGCGGAAGCGATGGGGCTTCTTGACACCTCCAGCGGGGACCTGTCAAGGGATCGAATTGGTGAGTCAGGCATGGTGGAAAGCGTGGAAGGGTCGACTGACAGCGGCGGTCTTGCGAGCTGCCTTGGATGCCAATTGTTTACGGGGAGCTTTGCCTGTTCAACACAGTTAAGATGAAGTTTGAAGGATGAATACGATAAAATGTTCTTACCTCCAGTTGACTTGCGGGCGGTCTGCTTGGTACGGGCCATTGAAAAATTTGGAGGTTGAAACTTGAGGTAAGTTGATAGTGAAGATAGATGTTGTCCGCAAGCCACAAACTAAACGTGATCCCTTCTTATATATCTATCCATTTCGGCACGTGCACCTGCCAGTGGATCAATCAACAATGATGATGAAGGTTATATTTAGCCACAAGCGCGTCGCGCTTACCCACGTGATTTCTGTGGACACTTGCGTAGACTCGATGGCCAAATAAAAATTCATTCTTTCATTTATTAACATTTGTAGGACCAGAATAACAGGCAGATATTCGAATATCAATTATCGACTACGAAGATCGCGTTAAAAAACGAACTACAGTGGTGCGAATAATAACAATCACATCTTTTACTCTGATCAGAAGATACAATAATCATGGCGTCCAGACTCCAGCGTGATATTGGATACACTGCTGACCAGTAGTAACTGTAGTGTTGCAACGCATCCCTAAGCACTGAAATGCAAGATGAGTCCTTCTCCTTTCAAAGAAATCACGAATATGCTCAACCCCTTCCTTCATGATATTTCATGCCCGCATCTGCCCTTGCACTCAGGCTACTCTTGCAGTAAATCCATGTTCGCTGTTTCTTTTTCTTGTTTGGTGAGACATCGTCAGCGCAGCGCTTTCTAGCTCGGCTGACTTCTGCCACGCCCAAGGTGACGAACTTCTCGGTAAGGTTTCGGGCTTGTCGCAGCAGTCTCCATCATTGCACTGCAGCACTATTCGCGAGGGGCAATGATTGAGCAGCTCCTGGTGTGTTCTAAAATAAGTCGTTTACTGGTGGCGTGCTCGTGTTGGGATTGCTGTCATGTGGTATTTTTTGTGAGGTTAGTCGGAATTGTCCCTGCAGATTCAGAATTGTTCGTACCAGTAGGAGAAGTTTGCTCATTTGATGAGCTCGCGGCAAATGAAAATAGGAATAAGCCGTACTTGGCTGCCCATATCAACTATTTATCCATACATTCTAATAACACATTTTTAGTGCCAAATGTCAGCCAGCAGGCCCAGCAGAAAGTTGGGATCAAGCATGATAGTGGATCGTGGGCTGCCAAATAATGCAGCTGGTACATCGTATGTGCGCGGCTCGACACGTTCAGCGACAATTTACACCCCATTCTGACTGTTCGATGTATCATACAGGACATTGCAGTTGGGAAATACTCCTATGCCATTCAAATGAAGGACCCAAGGATTTCGGAATCGTTGGATCTGAGGTCAAGCTCTTTGAAGCTGCAGCACTAGCGTATTGGCTTAGTCAGCAGCTTCACGATTCAACAGAGGTAAACACCTGGCCTCGGTATGTATCATGTGACAAAAGTTCCGAAACATCCGTTATCCATCACATCCGAGAATGCCGCCACGCCTATATAATGGCGGGCTCCTTCACTTTTGCCGTTCATACACTCGTGAAAAAGTATTATCCAAATCCAAATTACCATCCAAATCACTATGCATTCCACTGCAAGCCTCTGCTCGTCAAGGTACGGTCATCGTTGGGGATTTGCAAATTGGTATGTTCAACTTTTAGAACACATACGAGTTATTTTTTCATGGCTACTGCAGCAATTTCAACTGTAACTTAACGTCCCTCGACATCTTCGGAAACCAAAAATTGGATTTTCTGCAGAACAATCGTGAACTGCACGGAGGGAATGAAGGCAGACGAGTTCTCTCCAACCTTTCTTGGCTGCCTCATTGTCTTGTTCCTGATGCGATAGATCTTGTGGTCCCTTCTACCCACGATGATCCCGAAAAGACTGCCCAACATCGTGTTCGTGCTTCTCGGATGGACGTGAATGGAATGTCGTATGATATCGCCGACGCCACTGGAAAGAATGCATCCCTGGCTACGCTCATGCCTGATTTCAGAGCTCGCCAAAAGGACAAGACGCCATCTGCTGTATCTGGGAAAGCGAAGGTCTCTCTGGTCCAGACTATTGCTCGCTTGGAAAGGGAGGTGCCACCGCCCACAGGACATGTATGTTTGGTATTCACAGACATACGGAATTCAACCCAACTGTGGGACAAGAATCCTGCCATGTCGACAGCGATACATTTGCACAACAATCTTCTCTTACAACATCTTCTATATTGCGGTGGCTACATGGTCAAGACAGAAGGCGACTCATTTATGTGCGCCTTTCCAACAACCCTTGCTGCGGTATGGTGGTGTGTTACTGCCCAGATTCAACTTCTTCACGTACCCTGGCCCCAAGAAATACTAGATTGTGAAGAAGGCAAAGAGGTCTACGATAAACACGGAAACCTTCTTGCACGCGGCCTTTCCGTCCGTATGGGCATTCACTCTGGAACCCCAGCGTGCGAACTAGATCCTATCACTTGCCGCATGGATTATCTTGGGTCTATGGTTAACCGATGCGCCCGTATCAGTGCCAGTGCGTTGGGTGGACAAATCATGTGCAGCGCCGATGTTGTTCGCGAAGTCAATGCGAGTTTGTTTGATTGCGGTCCAGCCTCGAAACCTCAGACAGCTCGGGCTATCGAGGAAATCCGGCAACTGCAGACGGTTTTTCTCCCTGTCGGTGAAATCAAATTGAAGGGACTGGAAATTCCGGAGATGGCTTCCCTTGTCTACCCTGCAGCCCTCCTAGGACGTCAGCAGTTAGTCAAGTCTGGGTTGAATCCAAGCACGTCCCCGTCATTATCCACCCCCGGATCACCAGCAGATTCTTATACCAATGGCACCGCTGCACAAGTTATCTGTGACCAAACTCTATCCGATGATGCGTGTTTGGAGAGATGAGCTTTGCGTCTCCCTACCTACTAGACCTGTCCATTTCCATAGCGCTCTGATAATCGTATTTGTGCCCTTTTGTCAGGAACAGGATTGTATATTGTCAAGCGTCGTGTCACTCGCCTCCAGTGCCCGGCAAACGGTTTGATATAAACAAGTGATAAAGTTAAAATCCACATCCCAAGAAATTTCTTTGAACTATAGACTATTAAGTGTCACAATTTACATTGCACAGCCGGGCCTTAAATCGCTGGCTTTGAGGGAAGATGCCTAAGTGCTCGCTCGGCCTCACAGTTGTGCACTTGTCGCCGACAGGAAGGCCGGCATCTGGGAATCGTGAATTCCGGGTCCATAGTATGGGGATCACGTGCACCCGGACGCGCTATGTCGGGGTTGTGCCAGCACCCACCAAGCACGCCACTTGCACCGCGCACCCATCCAACCTCCAATACTCTGCTCTCCAACATGCTCACAGCAACTTCAGGCTGCAGTCTCTCCTTACCAAACTCCCTGGCTCCTTCGAATATCTGGTCTTGCTGTCTTCGGAGCATTTTTCTTCATCTCCAATGTCACTTCCAAATACTATATTTCACTCTCCTCAGGGACATGGCTCTGCGAGCCTTGAGGGCGGTGTGCATTAATGCGGCTTCATATTCTATGTATGTGGGGTGAGATGTAATCTTTCTTTTAACCCAGCAAAGGGTGCCCGTCGCGCGACAGGTGACTACGACGGAGTCCCTCATCTTGCAGGCACATTTGCCACTTGTCTGATCTGTTTCTCTCGCTATTGATTATTGGCTCTGCTATCATTCAGAGTCCAGATCTTCCATGCCAATTGAAGTAGGCCACCATCAGAGTATCGATGATGCCCTCGCTTGTTGCGTGGCACTGAAGAGTTTCTTCCTGGCAGCATATTGAAGTCACCTATTCATGAAAAGTTTTCGCTCAGTTAGTTAGTATTATGCATGTAGTGTACAAACAAAAATTCGATTCATAACTACAGGCATCGGGCATACACCAGATAATGATTCAATAAGCCACTTAGTACATCCAGCGGTAGTTCCATTCCCATCGTCATGGCTAACCAGATCCTCGAGTTCCGACTTTCTGGCCACCAGCGTCCATCATAGGGGTTTTAAAAAATTAACAACTTACTAATTTTTCCCATTAGCCGACTTGAACGACTGACCTCGTCATTACTAGTGACGCGCTCTACCAACTGAGCTAAACGGGATGCGATGTCGGGCCAATAGCAAGTGACATTATTGTCACCATTTGCATGTGGGTATGTCTTCAGTAAACTAAAGTTATTGCTACTTCCCAAACGTTTGCATGCGCTCTGTAACAGCTTTCTTCAACTGTGCAAGAATTTGTCAACCAGATCATGGAATACAGAGGAAGACACTTACTGGAGGGCTAATCCCATTACCTTCGAAATATGCCAGGACGAATTCCTCTGCTACCCAATCATTTTCCACCGAACCCATATCTTTAAGTATCAGAGTACGTGGGCGAGATGGGCTGCGCGACGGCGCAAGGAGTACAATGTCAAAGGGTTTGCCCTTTGACATTGATGTAGTCGGGAAAAGGGATTTCAATGTCCTCAAAGAAGACTGGGCTGCAGGTTCCTCTGCTGGAGTGATTGTAGCACGTGTATGTGCGAGCTGCATACGCGCAGTGAGGGCACGCATGAAGCCATCACGGAGATGTGAGTAAGATGTGCCGCGAGTGGGTACTGAGCAGAATGAAGTTCAAAGTAACCACGGCGTGTGCTCAGTACAGTAGGGACTTGCCTATTCGGATAGCGCAAGCGGTATTGCGGACAATGTGCTCGATTTTTTCATCAGGAGTTGCAGTCATGGGAATCTATCGAGTGTCTATTAGGAATAAGAATGCAAGAGGGCGGAGGAGTAATATTACATTCAGGTTTGGATTGGCAAGGTCGGCATAAAAACCAACAGAGTACACCTTTATACCAAGGAATGACACGGTTCTCAC